CCCCACGACTCTGCAAAGGAACAAACCGAAACACTCAAGTATCTTCCGTTCTGCGCCTTGCCAAAGGGCCTGGGAGGATGGGGTTCAGCATCAGCTCTGCATCCCGCCGTGCAATGAAGGATTAGCCTTTGCTGCTAATCCTGATAGCACCTGAACTCAGCAGACCACTCCAGTCCTGATTTCTAACAGAATAACTGCATTTCGAGCAGACAACAACAAGGGACAGCCCCATTTGCTGCATCCACAGCTGGAGTTTCCTGCGACTCTGCGGCGCCCCGTCTACTTCTCCTCACCATCTCCTCTGGTGACAGCAAGGGCCAGCAAAAAGCCACCGAGATTCAGACTGGGGCAACTCTGGTACAGCTCAGAGCTGCACACACAGAGGTTCTTGATTTCTGCAACCAACAAAAAGCCTCTACGAACCTGAGCTCAAAAGTCACTAAGAAATGGCTTACCAGGGCCAGGTCAGTTTTCCCCTCTTTAGAATATTTGTTTCTCAAATATTTAAATCTTTGCTGAAGTTAAAGAGCTGGGTCAGGACTTGGGTGCAGATCTGAGATCTCTGCCCATTCTTCCAGGTCTTCCTCACCCACACCTTGGTTGCACGAGCCCAAATTTCAGAGCTTTCCTTTGCTCTCTCCTTTGACCTCTCTACCCTGCTTCTATGCAAACACTACTACTAAACTTGGACCACTGGCCTACACCACGCTGTCCCCCCAGCTGAGTCACAAGTTTCCTGCCACGTGTCACACGTTGCGGACTTGCACTCAAGGCACAGACACCCCCTTCCCTGTGCAGACAGGCCACACATCTCTCCTGGCCTGCGTGTCCCCTGGGAAAGCACCAATGCTGGTCACTGTCACGATGCTCCATTCACATGGTCCTCCACAACACGTGGCCATCGATTTCCAGCTTATTCTGATGCCAAACAGACACCTCCAAAGTGTTTTAAGATAAACCTTAGTGCTTAAGAAAAATCTACTTCTATACATTCACGCAAAAGCACTGTGCATGCTTATATCCCCTCTCTCTCACACACATATGCAATCCGTATTGCAGGCTTCTTCAATCGAAAGGCACAGCGGGCTACACACACATGGCGAGATACAAACGTCTGCTGCTGACAGCGTTTGCCAAGTTCCTATGTTCTGACTGTAAAAAAAACCCTGCAAGCTTTGAAGCTGAAACAGGATGTACATGAGAGGGCCTGAATTCAGCAATGCCGAATTCTAGCTGGATGCTCCTGCCACGAACACACGCCAAGTCCTGCACGTGCTCCCTGCAGTCTGGGGCAGGCGCTCAGGGAGCAGGAACAGCAGAAGGGCAAAGTCCACCCTGCTCGGAGCACCCTGCTCAGGGCGCCCTGCTTGGAGCACCCTGCTTGGAGCACCCTCCCCACTCACCGACCCTGCCACACGCAGAGGGCTCCTGGCCAGAGTC